CCAGGTAAGAGTTCCCAGTTTTAAACCATTCCCTGCTTAATTTCCTTAAAGGATATTTTTAATTCTAACCATTGTTCTTAGATCTGCCTGCTAACCTGCTTTGTTAAAAAGCATGTAAAGCCCAATGATGGGGAATGAAAGTGCAGGGTCATATATATACATACTTTATAAAGTAAATACATTTTGTACTGTAGATATAATATTATTGCAAAATATAATTTAATTCAGATAAATTGGGGGCTGATAAATATGGATGATACAACTTAAATCTGTATATTTATTTTTTAGTATGGTTCAGAAAAACAAAACTACTTTTTCAATAAATCAGCAATTGATCTATAGATCAGTATAGCCAAATTAATTTAATGAGAAATAAATCTGTTTTCTGCAGTGAAATTTTCATAGTTTGGAACTTGTCTGAAGCATCTTGTGAAACTGTACTTTTTTGACACTTCGGTATGACATAAAATATGCCAGAATGAATAATCATGGAACAAATGCCCGCAGTGGACATTCATAGTTGCGATTACAGGAATGTTAAAAAACAGGTGGGTAGCTGCGTCAGCATGAGTAGGCTGCAAAGGAACAAGTAAAGATATATTCCATGCCTAAAGAGAAGAAAGGAAACACAACGATTCAGCTGTGGAGCTTTCTTTGTGTGTAAGAAAGATAGGCTGATGCAGCTACCCACCTGATATATAACATTTCTATAATCACAAGAAATCAGCAGAAGGTGCGCTATTTTGTTGACTATAAATCCTCACATGATGGTCAGGGGGCCTTTTTTTAAAAACGATACAGTACATTTTCTTATAGTTCTTATAGTATTTTGAGAGTCTGTTACATTGTGTGTCACACCACAGTGTCAGAATGGTGAGACGTTTTTATAATCAGGGGGGAGGGCCATAGCAATACAGCAGAAAGTGCAATCACCTTTTCCCAGTGCAAGTTCGTGTTATTGTGAGTTTTTAAAATTGGTTTGCGATTTTCTGAAATATATTCCATACAAAAATACAATTTGGACAGTCGCTATTTATTTGGATTTCCCCTTTCACTGAGGATGTCTACAGTATTCCATCTGGATTAGTACTGACCGAAGAGAGCCATCTACAGGCGAAAGGCGACATAACATCACTGCAGCAGCATTTAAGGTGGAACGAAAAACGCGCATAAGAATTTGGCAAATTAGAAACAAGCTTTTTTATGTTGAATCAGAAGCATTTTTCTTAGCAATATTAGGAACTGCACTCCATTTAGTATCCGGATTCTACCTTGTGTTGGTGTTGGGAGGACCTAAACCTCCTAACTCACATTTTATTTCAATTTCTGAAGTACATTTTTGTGCTTTGTGAGCACTCATCCTCTGGATCTGGATTTTACTGTGTTAAGCAAATTTTTACAGATTTTTTGAGCACTCTTACTGCTTAAATATAAATAAAATTAGATTTTGCCATCTCACTTTCACGATACAATTTCCAGATCCTTTGTTTTGTTGATGGGTGTCATAGTACTATGATTCTTTTTACCATTTGTGTATATTGTCTCTACCACAGTGTGACTTCTCTGAGTTTGGGCCACCTTGTGCTGGCCCTGTGCTTGCTGCTAGAACACTAATGCAGGTGTATCTGTGATCTTGCTGGGCTGTGTTCTCCTGACTCAGGTATCACAGTGGTGAGTCACAACAGTGGGCACCGCATGCGTGTGGCTCCTTGCGAAGAGAAAGGCTGTTACAGGAAAGAGCTCCAATACGAAGCAGATCTCCCTCAGCTCCACGCCTTAACACAAGTGTCCAGGTCCTGCCAGCAGTATGTCAAGGTGAGCTGGGAGCAGAGAGCAGGAGAGAAGACAGCTGCACAGCTGTTAAAACGTCTGCTGTAGAATGTTTTCAAACTAACGTTGAGAAGTCAAAATAGCTCTTTCCTGAAGCCTCCATCAGAAGTTATGATGAGGTTGGTATTTTTCTTTAATTGACAGGTTATGAAGAGTTAAGTATTTCATAGAACTCATTTGCACAAACTCTACCCAGTTACAGCAATGCCAAGACTTATCTAGACTGAAAACTAGAAAGACAAACAATTGTTAAACTTTCTTCATTTGCCTGTATAAAATACCCACAAATCTTCAGACACCCCTGTCATTAGATTTCACGGACATGTGTGATAAATATTTGTGTTCAGAATCATTTGTGTTAGCCGTTGAACTGTGGACAGGATTAAACTGGAT